TACTTCATCGGACCAACACGGGGGATTTCAGTTTCGTCTGTGTCCCCACACTCAATTTCTAAAAATCCTTGGCACAACCCATCTTGCTGTTTTTCTGGGCCTCTTTCCGCACATCTAGCACTCCGCATGAAAGACRGCAMAGGGCGTGAGGTTGGTATCGGAGCCGACAYGTGTCGGTTCTGATGATAGTGAGTCGAACTGGCGAGAGGTAGGAGAAGCCCTCAACTACTAGCTCGTCGAGATCGCCCAGTGACTAGGTCTCAATCCGGTGCGGTTGCACCCGCAATGCCAATGGCAGACGGTACTAGAGTGATCGTTAGCATTCCTGCCCCTTTCCCCTTCTTCCCTAACCATACCCATCCCGAGGTTTGGTTGGAAGCCGTCGAAGTTCAAGGCTACAGCGCGGGTGATCTTCCCCGCGTTCTWACCYTGTTACTCCGCAATACGTCGCATGACTGGTTTAGAAAGCATATGTGGGTAGATTGGAATACTTTCAAACAAGCCTTCTTGGCTCGATTTGATACGGTCAGTGAAGATGCCGCCTGGTACGTGCTCAAAACTCGGCCACAAGGGCCAGGGGAATTATTGTCCGATTTCGTGGATCGATTTCAAACCACGTTGGACAAATGTGGGCGAGACGARAAATCCGCTCRAGATCTATTCATCGATCACCTACGAAGTCCGACGTTGAAAGAGAAATTGCAGAAAAAGGTCTCGCCGAAGACACACCAGCTGTCTACTATCATCGCTAAAGCGTTGTAATTAGACCTGGCTGATATAAAAAAATATATCAGTCAGGGAGATGAAGATATTACGGAYACCATAGAGGATGTAGCGGCTAAAAGGCGATCGTGGTTGCGAGCGGTAGAACGGTTTTATCCCCGCCCTGACCATGACCTCCCCGACGGGATCGCTTCCGATATCCCGCCTGTTTCTTCTTCCTCTCCCCCGGTGAATCAACCGATCGCGGCAGTTAAAAGCAGAATTTCACCCGAACTCCCCTCGCCGGCCGTAACCAACTTACATTTTGCCCAGATGATCCATACGGCCACTACCAAGCAGTCCGAATGGATGAGCAACTTGATCCAAATGCAGGCCGCTCATATGGAGCGGATGGAACAAATAATGAGCAGGCTAATTGAGCCTAACCCGACCCCTGCTCGGCCTGCCCCCGCATCATTTCCACTCTTGCCTGCCCCGCCTGCACCAAGATACGCACCTCAGTTCCCTCACCTAGCTAATCCAACARGAAAGATCGAGTGCTTTAACTGCAAACAACCCGGATATTTCGCCCGAGACTGTCCGCAGCCAAAGCGTAATCAACCTCCACCTGCAGCGGCCCCTGTGGCCCTGAATCAAGGACGAGTGGCCGCATTGATGGATACGGCCCAAGGAGGAGAGCTCCTAGCATATGCCCCAGAACAGCTTTCCCCCTCGATGGCAACACCGTCGACATCGGGAGCTTCCTCCTCTGACGCTGCTGACGTGGTCGATCCACTTGAATATCTTCATCTCGCAGGCATGGTCAGAGCGATCCGATCGACCCCTTATGATGTCAAATGGGTCGATCGCGAATCCAATCCTGGTCCACAGTTTCGGACGGGAGAAATTGATGTTCTGAGAACGCTCAAGCAACTAGATATTCGGGTTCCTATCCCAGTAGGACATTTGCTCACCATATCCGAAGCTGCGAATGATAAACTCTCGCAACATTGCCAGAAAAATCAAAAGAAGCTTTACGTACCAGCGTATACAGCGAATGTTAAAAAAGAAGGAAGGAGGCGAGGAAGTTGCACCGCCCGAACCCGAAGCAAGCGAACCCGAGGCCGCACATTTAGCAGAGAAGGATCACTTCGTACGAGCTCGRCCGGTACTGTGGAAGAGCGCGGAATGTGATTGTGAAGTTTGGGGCAAGCCGTTTAACTCCCTTATCAACACAGGGTCTTCTGCAGTGGCCATATCATTAGACACTGTCAGAAAGACGGGACGACTCTGATCCATTCTTCCTCAATCTGGCAAAGACAATTATGTCTCTGCCGACGAGGAAGCAATGAACATCGTAGGCATTATTAAGAATGTGGCTGTAAAGGTTGGACGAATACACGTCCTCGTTAACGCGCTCGTGATAGATGTGCGCTCCTATTTTGTACTATTAGGATTGCCTTGGACGATGGCGGTGGGCGCACGTTTGCATTTTGATTCCAAGCAACTGGTGCTCACGCAAACTGGGGAAAAGCCTCAAACTGTTCCCTTGCGAATTTTCACCCGAACGATAAAACGAACTCCTAACTCGCCCCAAATAGGGATGATTMGATGCATTGATCCCGAGGAGTGTCCTTCCTCGGACATCGGTAGTGGAATCGGGGAACAGGAATACGAAGAAGAGATGCCTAGTGAAGATGAATGGAAGCACCTGGTCGAACTTTTCAAACACGAAATTCCCGAAGAATTTCAAGTGTGCCCCGACACTGCCCGAAGCTTCCACGTGGATTCAGGAGACAGCGCGCTTGCTCCTCTGATAACCCAAGTCCGTCCTTCAGTCCTTCTCGGAGAACCCATATTACAAGTATCTGACTTGGCCGATGATTTGGAACCCCCTTGCACCTTGTACGAAGGAGCTCTCTCCTTACGAACTCGTTATCAGCAAACGGAATAGTATTTGGATGTTTCCTACGAGGGACACGTGCAACACATTGAATGGGCACTGCATGCGTTACGAGATGCGGGCTTCAAAGTGGCGCTTGAGAAGTGTCAATTTTTTCTTACCACCATTTCCTTCTTAGGACACGTGGTAACAGACCAGGGACTCCAACCGGAGCCGCATAAGGTGGCAGCTGTCAGAGATGCGCCGGTGCCTACGACTATCATGCAAGTTCGCACCTTTTTGGGTCTGGCCTCGTACTACCGAAGATTTATCAAGGGCTACGCAGCGATTGCGGGACCCCTCACAAATCTGCTGCGCAAAGATCAGTCGTTGATTTGGACGCCGGAGTGTGATCAAGCGTTTTCGAAACTCAAGGCCGCTCTCATTTCAGCTCCGGTCCTTATAAGGCCGGATCCCGAAAAACCTTTTGTGCTCATTACTGACTGGCAGCCAGAGGCAATTTCGGCGATCTTTGCCCAGGTGGGACCAAGTGGACTCGAGAGTGTGGTGGAGTATGCGTCCAAATCGGTGCCCGCCTGCAAGCGCAACTACGCCACTCCAACGGGAGAATGCTACGCGGCTCTCTGGGGAATCAGTCACTTTCGCGCTTACCTGTACGGACGAAAGTTCACCCTGGTAACCGATCATGAGCCCCTGTTGGCTCTGAAGAAATCGAAGGATTACTCGGGCATAATCGAGCGATGGGCAACGGTGCTGCAGAGCATGGACTTTGACATTCGTCATCGGAAGCACGAGAGACACGGGAACGCAGACGGACTGACACGACTGCACCGACTTGAGAAAGTTCCGAAGAATGAGGAGGTGATTCCGTGGAACGATCCCGAACAGGAGACTGGACCTCGGTACGACCAAGTGGAGATCTTATCGAAGCAGTAAGTGACACGAGGACTGATTTGTCTGYTCTACCCTCTCCGCAATTCAGTCTGCCTCCGCAACCCCTTCTTCTCCTACTAATTCTGCCCCTCTCACTTCCTCAACTTTCTTTGTCACCCTCCCCGATAAATTCTGCTATTTTTGCACGTGTATTGCACGGGTTTATGGGGTCGAATGTCATCCTTTCAAAACCGGGTTTGTTGATTGGGCAGAATGTGCCACGTGTGTCAATCGTGCGCACGGGGCCTGCGTTCGATATCGGACGAGTAGCAAGGAATGGAGGTGCCCCCTGTGTAGAACGAACAAACTCACCACGGAGGTTCGATTCGAGGCCGCCCGTACGGACGGCCCTGAATACGACGAAAAATACCGACGAGCGGAGGTTTGGACGAATAAAATTTTATTGGCGAAATTAGCGAGATTATCATTGTGTCACCTCACCAAACACGACAGACGTAGGGCAACCGAGAGATCTCGGGACTATCGATGGATCAACGGTCATTTGGAGAAGCGTAAGACTGACGGATCGGGTTCGTGGTTGACGTTCCCCATCCATTCCAGAGATATGATTGGATCCGATCTGCTCACGAAGAACAGGCCGCTCATTTCGCGATACGTGTCACGGAGGCAACTATAGACCTGAACCGATGGTTCTGGTCCAATATAGGAGATGATGTCAGATCGCCAATTGTCTGGTCGGTGCCGCTGATCGTGCCCCAATACGGGGACCAAACACGATAGTACCAACGGAAGTAGAGCGTCCTTTCCAGGGAGTCAGTATGGACACGACAGATATCGATGTGCCACCTGGCCCCAACCGCTGTGAATATTATATCCTTTTAGTATTAATTGACCATTTTTCCAAGTACATCGAAGTTTACCCCTGCAAGACCCGCAAAACCGCAAAAATAGCCACGTACATCGATCGGTTCCTCTATACCCATCTAGATACGGAAGAAATTCTAACCGACAATGGGTCTGAATTCAAGGGTGAGGTAGAAGAGCTGCTTGCGCGAAGCGGCGTCACGTTCCGACATACGGCACCCCACGTGTCCCAGTCGAACGGGTTGGCCGAAAATGCCARCCGTATGATTAAAACCGCCCTTCGCACGAACTTAGTGGCACACGACACGCGTCCGTGGCCCGAGATCGTATATCAGGTCGTCGGGATCCACCGGGCCACCCCTCACGAGTCCACGGGGTTTACCCCTTTTCAGCTTCGTACTAATAGCCTCCCCTATGTCGACTACCGGGGTAACTCGGAAATTGCCGAAGCAGGGGGTAGAGACACGCGTGCAACTCTCAAGGCCAAGGCCAAAAGGTATACTGAATTAATGGAGCGGGCCGTCCCGAAGCTAGCCCGAAAAAGACAAAGGATGACCGATCTAGCCCACGGTAGGCAGGTCCGTAGCTACGAGGCTCGAAATGGAAATGCTGGGCCCCAGCATCAATATAAATTAGGGGACCTAGTGCAGGTACGTAAATGTACACGCGACCGGAAACTCGCTCCCAAGTTTTCTGGCTGTTTTTTCGTTGTTGAGCTCGGATCCAACGACGCTAACACGGTGCGCATTGCGCCTGAGGCTAGTGCCAGCCATAGCTCTGTCCCCACCGTCCGGCATACCTCCTACCTCCGTCCTCTTCCTCCCTCTTCTTCCTCAGAAAGCGAGGAGAACGACGACGATCTAACTCTCTCTCCGCTCTCTCCCTCCTGCCCTTCGTCTTCCTCTCTGACCTCGCCATGAGTTTCATCACGGAGCGGACTCTTGACGAACAACTATTGCAGCCATGTGGCCACATCTCAGAGATTCGGCAAGTACGCCATCCACGGCTTAATACGGATCTTCGGCGTTTGGCGCAGTTCTTCGGCGACGTGGGTGTGTGTGCCGCCGCCGCGTTTCGAATCGAAGGGAGTCCACGCGCAGTGGTATTGGCGGAAGTAATCTCAGTTCATCGGCGAGCGGCTCCCGGGACGAGCCACGTCACCACGGTTGCGGTGTTCAGCGGCGATATCAGTTCGGTCAATCCACGGTGGCATACCGCGATCTTGGCTTCGCTGTGAGAGTGGACGGAGCAAGTGTCCAATGTGTGGCAGCACTGTCTCGCCCGACCAGGGCACAACCTCATCCGCACCTTTGCACCGGATCTTGGCGACATCCGCAGTTCTCCACGCGAGCCGCCAGTTGCGATCCCCACCCTCGTCCCCTTCCCACGTCCCCAATGAACCACGCCGATCCTCTCGCTCCTCTCTCTATCTTCGGTCTTCCCTCTCTTTTCCCCACCTTCCGGCAGTCCGATCTTCATCCTTCTCTTTCCTTCTCGTTCGAGCCTCTTTCTGTTCCGCTCATTAATCCTGGGCATTGGCGACTGTGGCACGAAACATTTGACGAGTTGTCCTTCTGCTTGGCCCGACTACAAGTGACGTGGACGCAGACCAGCGAGCATCCTGCGTGGATCGAAAATTTGGAGCTGCTGATCATACAAGCTTGGAGGACTAACGTCGAGGGTGATCTTCTCGGCTTTCTCTTTGGATCGGTACGGTCAGGCCGCCGCTAGTTGATTGCGCAGGAGCTCATCGCGCCGATCGTGCAATTGGYGGACGATCTCTCGCCCGASATCTATTCAGAAAGTGACGACAGCCCTACTCCGTACGTTCTCGAGCGGTCATTGGATCCGTACCTACAGTGGACGGCGTGCTTGGAGGAGCCCATGGACGAAGATACGCTACCTTCACGGCAGGAGTATCTRAAGCCTTACGACATCATCCCTCATGCCTTCTATCCGAAGGCAAAGGAAGTGGTGATCGACGAGGACGAAAAAGACGACGACGAGGAAACGTCGGAGGAAGGGAGCTATAGCGAGTATAGCGAGGGCGAGCTGAGTGAAGAAGAGGAGGAGGAAGAAGAAACCGGGTCTGAGTGGGAAGCCTTGCMGGAGGAAGCGGCGCGCACGGGCACAGAGGCGGAAGATCCGGAAGCAGCGCGAAGGCACGAAGAAATTGCCACTGGGAAACGCCAGCTGGAGTTCGCCAGCGGAGCCAGCTTGCGCATCGGTAACGATTTGACCAGGGATCCGGAGCCGCCGAAGCCCGAAGATGGCGACCCAGCAGCCGCCACCTCAAGCACTGCGTGACGAAGACGGAGCCAATCCCCCTCCTCCTCCAGCCCCACCCGTCCCCCAGTTCGCCCACGTACCGATGCGGGCGATAGGCCTTCGTCCTCGGACGCTATCCCGCCGTCCCCTTGATTTTCTCACCCTCGAACAGATCCGCACCCCCGTCACCTTCCCCCTCCATCCCTTCCTTCCCCATCTCTTCCRTGATTTCTACTCTACCCGCCTACTCGCTACCGTCCACCCCCACGCATCCCTTCAGCCCGCTGCCCCCACGTTCTGCTGGCATATCCTGTTGTTCAAACCTGCGTGGCAGCGATGCAACGTGGTAGAAGTCTACTGCGTAGCCACGAGGACAATCCCCGCCTGTCGCCACTACGAGTTCTTTCGAGTGGCGCTTCTCCGCACCCTCTCCTCCTTCTATCACGACTACCTCGCTTCCCTCCCTCACAACGACGATCACTTTCTTCGCTTCCACCGGATCATCTGATATGAGGAGCTTCCGGTGACGGTAGAAGGGATGAATCGCTACCTACCTCCACTTCCTCCCCGACGTCCCCGTGAGATCCCCTCCATGTACCGCCTCTACTGGCCCATTCCAACTAGGAGGTAGATCTCGATCACGTGACTATTTCCCCCCCCCTGCCCTTTTCCTCTCTTCATCTAATCGACAGGTGAAAACGACACGAATCAGTAAGCTTCGCGAAGATCACGCCATCGACGATGACGTCAACCTACGCTCTGATTCGACGGACAGCGATAAACTGGGGTGCAAAGCACACGGAGAACCAGCGGACGATGATGGCGTCACGTGGACGACCATCGATGACTCCAGCAGCACGAGCCAACAGAAGATTGCAATTGAAGATGGCGTCCATATGGACTCTGGCTGGATCGTCTATTGATACGCTTGGTTCCTCATTCATCACTCTGTTCTCTCTCTCTCTCCTTCTTCGCCATAACATGCAATCAGGAGATCGCATAATTTTGGAACCCCCTGTGCTTCACATATGTGACGAAGAACTTTCCGAACCCGTGCTATCTTTCGTACCCTTTTTGCTTGTATCATACCAACCCCATAAAAGCCCCGTTTCGTTTTCTTGATTTGGGGTGCCGCGTTTTGGGCCCCCATCTTTCGGAAGCTTTTTCGATTCCCGGGTTCTGCTTTTTCTTTTTGCAATTCGAGAAATACATAGGAATTTACGTGCGCCTTAGCGAGCGCACTGGGAATTGAGTCCGGTAGTTGGGAATTTCGGGATAAGCGGAACTTCGACGTGTCCTTTTGTGTGTGAATGTTCTTGGTCACGTTGGGGAAAACTCTCGGAATTTTGTGGGGATACGAATAGGCGTAGGATTTTCTTTTCCCGCGTCGCTCTTTCCCGCGCGGATATGGTGATTTCAATTTTGAATTGGTTTAGGACATAGGCAAGCTGTAACTATTTCGGTGCCTTTTTCTCTCTTTTTGCTGAYGGCGCCGCGCATGCAAAAGCCTTCTCCTCTCTGTCCCCCGCATCGCTCTCTCCCGCGCCCCTTTTTCCTTCCCCCTCCTCTTTCTCTCTCCTCGTAACTGTTTTTTCTCTCTCTCTCCCACTCTGCTCTTTGCGCGCCTATTTTCCCTTTCTTGATCATCTGAATCTTGGACCCGTCTTGCGCTACTTCTCGCGCCTTTTCTCTTCTCACCCTCTGAGTTCAATACACGACGCCCGGTCGATCCTGCGATAACTCCCGCTCGCCAATCAGGTGCGTGGATCAATAGGATCTTCCTATTGCGCGACGAATCTGATTGGTTGAACCTTGAGTTTCGAGGGATCAACATGGCTTCCACGGAGCACTCTTCTCAAAGTCTTCTCCTCCTGCTTCTCCTCTTACACCTCAGCTTTCCCTTCGCTTTCTCCCCCTTCCGCAAACCTCTCTTACGTTCTCGACTCCCGAACCAGCTTTCGAGAAGCAGTGGCTAGGCAGAGTGTTTGATGCGAGTCGGAAAGTCCTGTCGGGCTGACGATAGGCTGATCGGTTGCGCGCTTGATCGCCATGACGGACTGTGGGATCTGGGCGAACCGCGTCGAGTTTACGTCGGCGGGGTGACAATCGCAATGGTGGGAGTTAACACGCGACGACCGGGATCGCCGGTGCGGGCATGAGGATCGATTGATGATCAGAGTCGAGTGAGTGATTGGCCCGGGGCCATATTGGAATTAACGGCGAATGCGCCTTTGTTGATTGTGAATTTTTATCTATGGCGTGAGTGTACGGCGGCAACGCCGAACTTCCTCTCTTCGGATCTCATCATTTTCTATCTCGACATTCCTCCCTCATATCCCTCTTTCTCCTCTATCTCTGAATGATGATGTGTCTCGATGTTTGTCTCTCTCTCTCTCTTGGATGAGAATGAGTCGGCATGCTGTTTCGGTGTGAAAGAACTTCTTCCGGAACTCTTCCATTAGTTTCCTGGGTAGTCCCCCTATGCAAGAACCCCGTCTTCTTGTCTTGTGAACGGTGGATGCGTGTGTATTGTTCAGCGATCCATCTTTTTGTCCCTGTGCATATCTAATCATTTTCGCACCTTCTACAGTGAATGAATGAATGGAGATGCACGTCTCTTTGCGTTGATTAGATGATTGTCGTCGGGATTTTGTTCGAGAATGCAAGAGTGTTTAGATCTGTAGTTCTGAATGCACTGCGCATGCCATCTGCCTTATGCTGCACGACATCAGCAACCGAGCCACGAGGCGGCCTCGAAAAACAAGGCGCCGTGGATCCTCGTCGYGTCGGCTCACTAAACCTAAGTCGCGGGTCGGTCCTTTAGTTACATGCATGATCAAGCTGATGAGTGTTTTTTTTCTCTCTCTCGTGTCGAAAAGGATTGATTGGGGGTTGCGCGAGTGTTTTCTTTTCTTGATGACGTCTCGAGGTTTTTGCAATTGATTGATATGTGGACTGACAAACACCCTTCGATCKGGCACCAGCCTCCCGTACCTCCCATCTCAACACGGCCTTTTCCCTACAACGAGAAAAGGACACGTATATGCGAGTGGGACGTATGAGAAGCTGTTGCACAAATCGGCGGACGATACTACTTCCCTCCGACAAATCGTTGTTCAGGGTTCGTAGAGGCTGGGTTTGTCATTATCGATACGCACTTTCCACCTTACTCGATATTGTTGCCATTCAACGAGTTGATCGTCATCACGTGGACGGCAGTAGAACCCCACTGGCCGCGCACTCTATGCACCGAATGCCAGCGCTTTGAGCGCTACAAATCCAGGGGTTTCCACTACCGTGTGNCGTGGACGGCAGTAGAACCCCACTGGCCGCGCACTCTATGCACCGAATGCCAGCGCTTTGAGCGCTACAAATCCAGGGGTTTCCACTACCGTGTGCGRAGTGAGGAYGAACATAGAGAAAGAGCCACACGATTAAGACCCTCCACGTCTGATTCAGAACTGGTCAGTGAACGATGACGGGACTTAATACGAAAGCGAGACACGCGAAGCCCTTCTGTTCTAAACGACGGGCCTTAGCCAGGTGGGAAGTCCGACAATATTTTCTAGATTGAATTCGTATCTCTCTCTCCTCTCGCGCCAAACTTCCGCGCGCATTTTGCGTCGCTCGAAAAACGATCGACTTACTTCATCGGACCAACACGAGGGATTTCAGTTTCGTTTGTGTCCCCACACTCAATTTCCAAAAATCCTTGGCACACCCCATCTTGCTGTTTTTCTGGGCCTCTTTCCGCACATCTAGCACTCTGGACGAAAGACAACACAGGGCGTGAGGTTTGCGCGTCACAGAGGGGCCTTTTTTTTCTTTTTTTTTTTCCAGCCGTCATTTTCAGAGGAAGAAAATAACGGTACAGACAAAGACAGAAAATAACGGTAGGGACAGAGGCATACCAGCCTCTGTTTTCACATCGGCAGCCGCCACACCGTTGAACCAATGAGCCACCTATCTCTTTTTTGTTCGGCCCGACTGGCGAACGTCACCAAACCTTTACCGGCTCTCTGCCGAACGGCCCAGGCCCGTTTGCAGTTTACTGCAATACACTGAACAGTGCAGGGCCGTGGACTGGTGGTTTAACTCCACAACAAGGAGAGTTATGTTTCCCTACGAGATCGTAAGGCATGAGGCACTAAAGAATCTGGGATGGGAGCATGAAAGTCTATCTGTCCTTACCTGCTACTTTATTGATCTCAATGAATTTGATGTTGTAATCTATGTGCCACAACAAAGGCTCGAAGGGTTATTATGCAATGATAGATTACCGCAAATAAAGCCTTTGAGGACAGGAGGTATTATCACCCACTGCTACTATAAAGAAGTGAAAAGAAAAAAAGGAGGACTATATCAATTTACACATTTCAGCAATTCCTTCGGTTGTGTATTTTATTTGCGTTTTTATGTGTTATTAAGTGATGATAAATTACGGCAGATAAAGCCCCCACAGGTACTAGTCTAAAGAAGTGAAAAGAGAAAAAGAAAGTCCTTCGCCCCTGCCCAAGGGTGACATGCATATATAGAGAAATGATTAACGAAGTCAATGCACTAGTGGTGGACCTCCTGGTCGCAAAAGGTTCTGCGTTGCCACATGGAGCAGGGTTGTGGTTCACCCATTCTCTCATGCCCCTATTTCTCTTCTCCCACTCAGGGCATACTCACACTCGGACTTTCTTTCTAGGGCTGTGGTTCACCCATTCTCTCCTGCCCCTATTTCTCTTCTCCCTCTCAGGGCATATTTCTAAGCTCAGTAAGGGCCTCGTTCGACACCACTACAAAACCTTTACTTTGTAAGGGTGCCCTTACGGTGAAAAAGTGATTAATTTTCCCTTACCTCATTTTTCGTTCCACAACCACTTACAAAAACCCTACACTTAGGCACACTTACATTTCAGGTGCCTCCGTTTGCATTCTAATTGGCCGAAAGACACACCTGATGTTAAAAAAAATAAAAAATGAAAATGGTTCTTTCGCGGATGTAAGGGTGCCACCCCCTACTTTCAAGTCACCTCCACGGCCATCCTTACGGTAAGGGCCGTTTTGGCTGGGCGGTACTTACTTTTGTAGGGCCCGCCCTTACGGCCGCG